TCTTTGGCTCTTGTCTGCTCCACACTGTCTTCTTCTATGTAAGAGCTGTTCAGATATTTGTAGAAATTCTCATATGTATTTCTTATTTTTCTTTTTAAGTTTTTGTGTTAAACCTTTAAAAAAATGTAATTGTTTTCAGACTCTACTAGTTTGAAAGTGCTTCTTATAGTGTATTCTAGTTTGGACTCTTTAGTGACAAGGAATACAGACCCATCCTAGCTTAAGAGGGTGAAATATCATAAGAAGTTTGATGACAGACACTATAATGCTGCTGGAGTTTACTGGAAGTAGAACCTAGACAGCTGTACAGCCTCTTTCTTGTGGAATCTCTTGCTTTTTTCTTCTTGTGGGTACTGTTAACCTGTTTCTACTGGCCAGTCTCAGCCTAGAGCTTCTGCTGTTTATAGCTTTAGTTTTACACTTGACCCCTCTATGACTGCCTGAGCCTTTTCTATATCATAGCAAGTCTTTATACATCTTTTTGGCTGCTCACTTCGGTCTCTCTCTCTCTCTTTTTTTTTAATTCAAAATTCCCTAGCAGGGGAATTTGATTTATCTTGGGTACCTTGTACAGCCAGGTCACTCAGGTTGTAAGTTGCTTGCCAGTTTATAGCTGTCTGTCCCACTTATTTACTCAACAATTAAATGCCACCTTATAGTCCCACTCATTTACTCAACAAGCATGCTGTTAAGTATCTAATATATGCCAGGAATTATTTTAAGTGCCTGGGTGGGATGGATGAGGAAACAAAGCAGGTTAAAATTTACTGTTTTCATTCTAGTGAAGTGAGACAGACAAGTAACAGTAACTGCAATAATCAAGTCATTGATTTAGCAGTTTGTGTCTGGCTGGTGTGAGGGTGTGAGCAGGGCTGCCGCCTCTCCTTGAACCGTGGGCAGTGCCATTTTTGTTACAGCAGGTTGTGGGCAGATGGACATCATGAAGCAAGTCTCGTATAGATAACTTCTCAGCTAGTTGCATAGGTAAACATCTCATAGAAAAATATTTATTCAATTATGTATTAGAGTAGCATTTCCTAAAGCTCAGAGTCTGTGTTTAAACAAGCAGTATATGCAGGGGTGGGCAAAAGTAGGTTTATAGTTGTAATACAATTATTGAATAAATAACAACAATGAATAAATAATACAAAAATAAACTGTGTTTCATGTAGTCACAACTGTAAACCTACTTTACCCATCCCATTATGTACTTGGTACATCTGCACTGTAGCCACACATAGAAAGCACTCTAATAATTTCTGTCAGTGGGTATGGTCAGCAAATACCATACCCACCTGTTTTGTGTAGAGAGGAACACTTACTGTATTATATTTCTCCACCTAATAAATGCCTACTTACTCTTCTGCTCTTCTGCAGATATGCTTCTTCCTCATAGCTACTGGCAACTCCACACCCATAGCATACTAGTTAGCAACCCCAGAGAATACCTTTTGACTCTTCTGGAGTCATTGGCCAACGTAGAACAGTCACTTTGCCAGGGGGTAGTGGATGGCTGGATCATTCTGGGTCAGTTGCTAATCCCAGTGACTGGCCTGGATAGCCTGACAGCCCTCCCAGGACCCAAGGGGAAGTGTGTTACCAAACATAAAGGAGGGAAAAGTGTGCCTGACCGTGCCAGTATTTCTTCACCCTTTCTAAATTTGTTTTAGGCAGCTTGTCTACCACATATGCTTTTTTCAAAGAAAGCCATATTCAGATGTTCTGGTATTTTCCTGAGGATCCTCCCTTTTTATGTATTAATTTCATTTAGCCATCAGGTATCTTGTTTTTTTGTTTGTTTGTTTGTTTTGATGGGGTGGGAGAGTAGGAGCTGAAAAAGAAAACGGCGCTCCAGCCTCCTTCCAAGTTAGCTGCATACAATGTAGCGGATCATCAGTTTTGCCTCTCCTTTCTAGAAAGTGGTCCCTTTTCTTTTGAGGGATTTCTCCCTTCCCCTATCCATATCCAGCCCCGTTTAATATGTATGCAAATAAAAGCTGATTCCATAGCTATGCTGATTGACATGACCTGCCTCACCTCTGGACATAAGGGTCAGTCTGCAGGTGTATGGACACCTGACTCGAGAACAGTCTTCCCTCACTTTTGCTTGTTCCTCAATGTAAAAAGTCATCTTCTCTGAATTTTTAAAGACAACCAGTACTACCTTAAAAGTAGTTACCAGATAAAATATATAAACTTGGGAAATGTTTAAACATTCAGAATAAATGCTTACAGATCAAAAAACTATTCAGAAAATATTTGTTTACTTTTTTATTAGGGTACTTTCATAAGTTCCGCAGAAGTTGTCAGCTGCAATTTACATAGTTGGAAACCAACTATGTATCCACATTTTTTATAGTGAAATATCATTTTACCATTTTTATTTTTGCTTTTCTAATCTAATAACCACTTTCAAATAACATTATATAATGGAAATCTTATCACCATGTATCATATTTCTGTGCGTAATTATAAATGTATCAGAATTTCAAACTAGACTTTCATGTTTTTGAAACATCGCATATTATTATGAAATCAGTAAATACTATGTTGCTTCTGGAGAACTTTTAAAAGTTAAACTCCTGCCAAAAAGGAACTTCTCATGTCAAATTTGCAATGATTAAAACAACTAATATTTTAAAATAAACAGTTGTTAGTAAGGATGCCATGTCATTCTTATAAACAATGTAAAAAATTGTTAAATGTCTTTTTGGTGGGCCTTTTGGCTTTGTATGAATCTTTAAAATTTTCATACTCTTTGACCCAGTAGTTACATATCTAAGATTTTTTTCTGGAGAAACATGAGATGAGGACAAAGATTTATATAGAAAAAATGCTTGTGTAGCATTATCTATAATAGTGAGAAAGTAGAAAATGTACATACCACAGCAAAGGCCAATTGTAGAAGATGAAGTAGTAAAACAATATATAAAGCTAGGATTAGTGTGATCTCAATTCTGTAGAAAATAGTACATGTGTACAAAAAAAACCCATAGGATAAAACAGTCCAAAATGTTAACAGTAATTACCTTTAGGTTTGGGATTGTGGGTGATTTCTTTTTTATATTTTTATGTATTTGAAAAAATTTTTCTCACTAACATTACTTTTATAGTTAGTAAAAAATAATATTGTAAATTCTTTCTTAAGCCTAAAATACATTAGGTATGATTTTCAGAACTGAATAAACAATAATAGGAACACCTAGCTAAATATAAAGAACATGTATTAGAACATGAAATTCTTCATGTATAAAGAACATGAAATAAAGAACATGTATTTATCACTGTTTTAAAAGATAGGGAGATATCAGCTTAAAACAATTCCTGTCAATAATTAATTTACTAAAATAGACATTAACTCAGTATGAACTAAGTGCCAGACATTCAGTATGCTAGGGGATTCAAAGACGGTACTGAGTAAAAGAAGAAGCTTGCTGTCATCTCTCCTAGCAAGCTTTCCATGGTCTTCTGCACTATGCTAGGTTAGGTTCCCTTCTACCGCTGTGCTTGCTGTGATGCACTGAAGTTATCAGTTCATGTGTCTGTTCTCCCTATAGAAAATGAGTTCCTTAAGGATGGAGGCCGTGTCTTTTTCATCTGTGTATCTGCGGTACTAGCAGTTTTTTGAATTATCTCTGCTTGGAATGTCAGAAGTGGTTATGCTTGAGGTGGATTTTGAAAAAATTAGTGCATGTGATGAAACACTTTTATTTTAGTTTACTCAATGAAATCCTTCATTCCGCTATATATGATGAGTTGCTATACTTAGCAATTATAAACTTTTAATTGAGAATGTTTTTATTTTACCTTTTTCAAATGTGACCTCGGTTTTAGAACATAGTACTGAGTTCCTCAGTAAAATGAATTTGTTTCCATTTCTCTTTCAAAGGTAAAAATTTGTCCATGAAGTGATTGAACTCTAGGTGAGGGGAAAGGGGGAAGTTTAATAGGGATGAGGGTGAAGGATGATAGTGGATTATTTAAAAAAATTAACAGGGGGTAGAGAATATATATATATTAGCAAATTGAATCAGGTGTTATGGGCTTCCTTAGGTTAGATGTACAAATAATCAGAATGTTGTTGCTTTCACTTCATAGTAACCTGGGACACAATGTAGAATGTGCAAGTACATGAAACTCTTTAAAAAGTATACCAAAAAGCAATTTAGATCTAACATATACTTTCCATACCCAAATTACTCACAGATTTCATCCCCAATGTTCAAGTGAAAGTCATTCCATTCTTTAGAGTCACAGGATAATTTTATAACAATGATATGGACAAGTGGTTTTTAACCAGGGGCAGTTTTGCCCCCACCAGAGGACATCTGGCAGTGTCTGGAGATATTTTTGATTGTAATGACTTGGTGGTGGTGGTGGTGCTACTGGCATTTAGTGGGTGGAGGCTAAGGATGCTGTTGAACATCCCACAAGGCACAGGATGGGGCGCCCCACACCTCCCCCTAAACACACAACCAGAGTTATCTGGCCCCAAAAGTCAGTAGTGCTGATGTTGAGAAACCCTGCCTGGGCAATGGTCAAGTTCCCAGGCCACTGTAAAAATCTTTATTTTACTCACAACAGAGTTTATAACCCATAACTGAAGCTTTGTGCTAACAGTACCATTTCATTTGTCACTTAAAAGTACTTTGTCTCCCTAGAAAAGTTCTTTAAAGTTTCAGCCTGAGATACTGAAAAGATTGCTTTCCTTATTGGGAACAAAGGCAGTTATTTCCATGGTATGGAGAGACTCTAGATTACAATATTTCTGTCTGTCTTTCTCAGCTTTTCTTGTGTATCACTCTTGAGATTCTGTTGGATAGGGATTGCCTGCCATTTCAGTATTATGTTTAGAGGGTACATATTTTTATGTCCTTAAAATCTTGAAAATGTTTAATCAGTATATCAATTTATTCAACAAATACTCATTGAGAAATAAGTATTACTATAACAAGTATTCAGATTTTACAATACCTCATGTACTTTGATTTTATTAATAGGGTCAGGAGCAGGTCTGGGGAAAATAATCCAGAGATTTCCACAGAAGGACTGGGATGATACACCTTTTCCACAGGGAATTGAATTGGTAAGTTGGTGTTGTATTATTGTACTTTTATAATAATACTTTTCTTCTTCTTATGTTACATTTATGATTATATTTATGATACAGTTACTATTAAGTAATTTGGTGATTTAACTGTGACATGTTACCAGCAATAATCCCTCTCCTCCATTCCCCCAGTGAGGTGACCTTTGAATATACTGATTCTGAAATGCCTGTTTTACTGTTCTTTTTCGCATGTAAACTTCTCTTATATTAAAGATGAAATTGATGACCTTTATATACTTGGAAGATGAAAAATTCCTTTGACTCTCGTCAAAATAGTAGCTTTAGTGATAGTGTATCACTAAACAAATATTTATTATGTTTTTTTCTGATAATTTCCAGATTATTACTTCGGTGACAACTGAACAAAAAAAAATAACAAAAAACGGGAAATGTTGGTTTAATGGTGATGTGTTGTGTTGAGTTCACAAATCCAAATTCTTTCTTTTTAGCTATAGGATCTTTAGGTCGCTTTATAACAGTGCGATTCAACCGCTTTGTCTTTGCCAGCGATTGTAAAGGAATGCAGTGGTGCAGCGTACTTTACGGTGGCCACGGCGTGCTCCGTGGTGGCCCTCCACGACGGCTGGTGAATGAGGGACTGGAAGGTGATCACTAAAGTCATTAACGTATTTTGTAATGGGGCTCTGCAGTTTGGTTCTCAAAAGTGCTGGAGTGTGTATGTATGTGTGTGCTGCCTGTGTGTGCTGCCTGTGTGTGCACACACACAAACTTCTAGAAATGTCCTTCAGAGCAGTTTTTGTCGAGAGGACGTTTAGTGTAATGTGATGGTGCAGTGTGCAGGCTCTGGAGGAGACCTCTGTTGGACTCCCAGCTGGACGGTTTGACTTTTGACAGGTAAATATCTTTGAGCAGCAGAATCCTCATTTATAACATCTATGTGATGACAATACTAATCCCATAGGGTTTTTGTGAAGATAAAATGGGTTTAAAATGCACATAAAATGCGTAGAACAATGTATTCCATGAAGTAAGTGCTCTTTAAGTGAGATCACTGATTTATCATTACCACTGTTCTTGCTGTTTGTCTGACATCTTGCAGCACCTGCTCTAGGAGAGGAATTGTTCATTCTCCAGTTAGCATGAGTGAGGAATATCGGGGTAAAATGGATGTTGAAAATTGTGAGCTTCTTCGTTCTAGCTGTTGACTGTCCATTTTCTCTTCACTGAGGACAAAAGATACATCACTGAATGCCTAATTTTGATTACTATAATCCCACTGTGTAAAAAAAGAAGTCTGTATATTCTGTAGATCCCCATAAAGGCTAAATCTTGAATTTTGGTACTAAAAATGGGGAAAGAATGTGAGGATCTAAGGAAAAGTAACTTTTTGAAGAGCCTGTTGTATTCCTTTATTTTCCTCCCCTACATTCTGACAAATACTAGTAATTGGCCTTCCTGTGTGTTTAACTAGGTATTTGTTTGTACTGTTAAACTTTTTCAACTCTGTTTAAATATCTTTTAAAAATATTTTGGACTCATTTTTAAAAATTTTTATTTTATTTTATTTATTTATCTTTAGAGGGGAAGGGAAGGAGAGAGGGAGAGAAATATCAATGTATGGTTGTCTCTTGTGTGCCCCCAACCGTGGATCTGGTCAGCAACCCAGGCATGTGCCCTAGACTGGGAGTAGAACCAGCAACCCTTTGGTTTGCTGGTCAACACTCAATCCACTGATCCACAACAGCCAGGGCTTAAGTATCTTTTTAGTGATGTTACTGAAAGGGGAAGTTATTGGTGCTGGAGACTTTTTTTAACTTTTCATGAGTTCCTACCTTCTCTCACATTAAAGTATGGAGGGAAATAAACTACAACACTTTGTTTGAACAATGAGTACCTTCATAAGTTTCAAGAACAACAGACATTATTAGGGTGGAGAGATACCATGATTTGGCACTAGTTATTTAGCTATGACTGACAAAGGATGAAAGTTTTGTGTTTTGAAAGTCAAGGGAATGGACAGTGTGGTGCCTCTGTTTCTCCATTAGTGAGGGAGAGGCATTTATTGATTTCACTGTTTAGTAAATTTTTTTCTTTGTATGACAGACACTCCTGTGTTAAAGTGTTGTCAGTGTCTCTCCAATAACAAGCAGTCATGCACTGCTGATTGGGGAATGGCGATTTTCCTAGATGATTTCTTGGGTGATTCTTACTTAGCAAAGCGTTTCAAGGTTTTTTGGGGATAGATTATTATTTAGTAGTAAAGAGTAATGGGTGCCAAGTACATGGTGACGGAGATGGCTTGACTTTAGCTGGTGGGCACACAATGCAATACACAGGTCATGTACCATAGAAATATAAATTTGAAACCTGTGTGATCTTATTAACCAATGTCACCCCAATGAATTTAATTTAAAAAGAATCTTTGATCTGCTGGATTACATTAGAAATTTCTTTCTCTTTTTTTCTATAGTCGACAGCAGTTCTTATCCTCTAATGTCTGCTGTGCTGTGTACGAATTAATTTAACATCTGTCAGAGTCTTTTGAAAAATATAATAGAATCAACAACTGTTAAGTTTTTTGTTGTCTGTTTATTGTTTTGGGCTATGCTTCATGTGTTAGGGACATGAAACTGTTCTGCATATGAACAGAAATAACTTGAATAACTGTGAAATACTGTGTAATATAGAGTAACGTTTGTAGCTTCAAGGCCAAAGATAGGCCTAATAAAATCTTAGTTTAGTTGGAAATGATCTGCCCAGTCCCTAAGTGGTTTGGTGATTCCAGGGTGGTAGTGACGCTTTTCTGATGATTTGCAGGGGAAAAAAATCTTACCCCTTCCAAGGTAGTAGAACAACTTTTAGCATATAACAATAATGCTAATATTTAACAGTTGTATAGGACTGATAGACTATGATGACTTTACATAAATTAGATGACATACAGTAGTATATCTAATTTACAGATTAGGAATTTAAGGATTAGTACATTTAAACAATTTCATTAGGGTCTCACAGCTAAGGGGCAGCAGAGCTGGGATTCGAAGCCAGGTCTTTCGGCTCTTTAAGTGTCAGCCAAGATCTGAGAATATTCTGAGAGTGACGCTTTAAGTGATGTTTAGCATTTGTGTTTTAGTGTAAATACAGGATCTGGAAACAGGGTTCTGTAATTTGGAAGAACTGAGGTTTAAAAATGTTAAAAGAATGCTGTGTTATTAGATGGAAACCAACTTATTTTATCTGAGGGCAGATCTAGGCTCAGAGCATAATATTGTATTGAAATTATTTCTATTCTCACTTTTCTCCCAGACAGCATACATTTGATATGTTTAAATTCTAAATGAAAGATAATCATGTTCAGCCTGAAGACTAAGCTTTTTACGACTTGTGGGAGAGGATTTTAGACATTCATTCCCTAAAAAGTCAAATCCCAAATAAGGATTCTGAATTTATTCTCTTAGTTTTTATGTAAAGAAACCGTCTTCTTTTTCTTTTCGTCTATTGGAAAGTGCTGAACTTTAATTTGGATGGATTTTAAAAATAAAAATATGAAAATAAGCTAAACCAAACATAATGACTACTTTTCCAATTCTGGGATATTTTTATCTTTTTCTTGTATTTTTTAAGCATACAAGAAAACCACAGACAGTCATATAAATAAAATTTCAGTTAATTTTAGTGACAGTATTTCAAAGAAAGTGTAAGAATTGTTTTGCAGAGGCATTCTATGGCTAACAACCTATTTTGGATTATGGGAACAAATGTTTTTATTGGCTGGGTTTTGGACATCAGAAAAAGTATTGTTTTGGCATTAGCTTTTTTAAAAGATATCCTAATTTTTTTATATTGTAATTCAGAAAATATGCCCTGTCTTTACTAAGGAATGTTTGCACTGGGGCATTTTTAGGTCTATCTGACTGTTTTTAAAAGACTCAAGCACTATGTTATAAAGATGTTGTGATGAGGAAAAGATGAGTAAACATTTAGGTAGAATTTCTAAACTTGAGGTTCTTATGAAATTAGTTTAGTTATTTAAATTAGAGAACAGTGATTTGACTAATTTCAATATGAATCCAGTTTTCTGTAATTGTAGGTATAGACTGAGGAGAAGAGGGGCAAAATTTTTTATTTAACATTCTGCAGTTATAACACAGGAGAAGTAGTCTTACTATATTATAGGATGCAGTTTGTGGGCAGATAAGTTAGTATAAGTACCATGCAATACTTTATTTCTTTAAGCTGTTTAGAATGCATTGAATACAACAAATGGGATAGCAGATGTCATTCTGACCTAGATATACATCATGTTTGGTCAGGGAACTGAGTGTGGAAAACATGGAAGAGAATTTTCTCCCCTCTTTGTAGAGGAAAGTATGTGAGAGGAAGATGAGCAAGTCAGTGAATGTACAGGATAACAGAATTAAGGTTCACAGAGATTTTAAAAGGCTAGAGTTATAGGCCCTTTATCTAAGATGAATTATAATAGATAAAAACGGCTCTCTTGCATGTGAATACAATAAGCCAGCTCTGTAAGTAATCATTTAGAATAAAGATAGACAGGATAATTTGCCAGCTAGAGAGATTTGAAAAATACAAGAAGACAGCTAAAAGTAAAAAATACATAACCATAAAATATACTTAGGTAGAATCTAAACCCTCTGTGCTGAGGTAGTGCACTTAGTGATGAATTCAGTTTTAAAGAGGATGTGAAGGACATGAAGATGGACTCTTGTTTTTGTAAAGAGTTGAGGCTGAAAAGATAAGAACTGCTATGATGTATGAAGACATGACTTAAAGTACAGGGTCCAGCAGGAGTGATGCCTGCTTGAGTGTGGTTGGTAGGGGAATAATATTGCTGTAATAATTTGTAGTTTTAATTTGAACATTTCACCTAAAAATGTCATATGGTGTGCCTGAGTGTGATCTTGTTATGTTACAGAATTACATGCTTCTGATTTTGAAATAAAAGATTTTGTAATAAAAAGGGGCGTTATTTGTGCTGGACCCCGTAAACCAAG